AAAACCGCAGACATACGTCGAATATCACAATATATCAAATTCCAGCTGCAGTACGAATATCATTCCACAACTGGAACCTGCTCTGGTAATGATACGGCCAATCTTGAACCGAAACATCTCGGTATTTGTCCCAAAAAAAACACAAAGGCGGTAATGGAGAATCAGAACACAGATTGATACGAATGAAGTGCGAGTAGGAACCAAGATGACCTATGACGATCTCACAGTCAGGTCATGTAGCCGTGGATGGTGCGCGGATCGGGAATACCGTCATACTAGCCATGTCCATATTGTTATCGTTGGGACCATAGCTTAGCAACACGACAACTGCATTGAACAGTGTAGCAATAGCAAAGAGGTCGCCCGTACCATTCATCCAATGTGGCTCGCCACAAGGACCCCCCTCCCATCTTATACGATCGATTGCGACGTCGACCCCATCCCAATAAAATGGAGCGTACAAATGAATGTTGGCTGCGACCTCATTTGCAATATTTCTTCTTACCACATCCCACCTATGCTGATCCCTATAAATGTAACTCGCAACCACCCGAAATCCGCAGTTCCCGTCCGGCGTCACATCCAGATAACTCTGTACGTAGCTGTCACTATGTAGGGAATCCTACCACATCCAGACTCATCCTAAGTCTCGAAGACTCCAGCGTCTCCCTGGTAATACATTACATAACATAACATTCGACCGAAGTAAAATTTATAATCAATGCATTAATAACACAGTCTTACAGTATAAATTAAAAAAATATACCTGACTTTAGTCAGTTGAGAATCAATCTCTTTGTCAATCTTCTCCCAAACCGTGTCGAGCGAACCAGTCGACGTGTTAAGCCACCGCTTCAACGTAGCGTGGGAACTCTCCACCCTACACGACGTTGTGTTGCCAAAATGTAAGACAGTGTCCGTCCACACTTTGACAAACTTCTCCTTGTGCACTAGCCATGTCTGATCCACATATTCCAGCACATGAGGAAACATCGCGTATGTAACAGCCAAATCAGTTACGGCAGTTTTGTATTTGTCCCACGTGTTCGCCTCGACAACCTTCTTCCACTTGCCGTGCGTGAACTTCTGCGCGAAAATCTTATTTTTAGTTAAGCTTGTCGACGTGAATCGATAGACCCTGTCTTCCACATCCTTGTAGATGTGCCACGTGCAGAGTAAATGGGGCGTCTTCGGAAAATTTCTCTGAATAGGAGTGATCAACCCCAACTCCCTGTCACTGACAATGACTGTAGGATGTACATCAGGCCCAATCAAGAGTCTCAACCGCTGTAGGACCCAGTCATAGTTGTACTCGGTCTCGTCCTTGATAATTGCATAAGCAATTAAGAAATTCTTATTGCACGGCGTCATTCCAATCATCTCAACCAACGGCATGTGGTACCTGTGCAAATGAAAGCAGCAAGAAGAAAAAACATAGAATCAAAAACTTACTCAACCATACTATTTTAAGATTCACATTATATTACTATTTATAACGTAATGTAACATACCTGTTGGTTTTGTACGTGGAATCTATACCGACATACCAGTAATATGTCCG